ATATTTTTTCCATAGCGAGTTAAAGCTTTAGACAGACTTAAAAAATTAGATATATTTTTTTCCATAGCGAGTTAAAGCTTTAGACAGACTTAAAAAATTAGATATATTTTTTTCCATAGCGAGTTAAAGCTTTAGACAAACTTAAAAGGTTTTGTCTTCTTTTTCCTTTTCTACGATATTTATAAAAATGCTCCTCAAATTGGTTGTGGAAATAAAAACAGTCGTCGAAAAAAGTAAAATTGTTTCTTTGTTTTGCAGTTAAACAAATAGGCTATCTGTGTTCTGCCCACCACGGGCATCGAAACCCGGTTTCTAGGGTTATAAGTCAACATACATACCGCTGTGGCACTGGGAAGCAAAAATTGTATTTGTGTTTTTTTTTTTAATAGCAAAGCCATATCGGGCTACCTGCTGCGTCTACCGATGGGAATCGAACCCCTGATTTTGGCGTTGTAAATCCGTAGGGTTACCGCTGTCCCACCGGGGGACGGGGACTAAAGTAGAAGGCTTTAACTTTCGAAAAACTAAAGCTTTTTTGAAATCAAAATATATTTGATACGACAATAACAGTTGCTAAATAAAACAACTGGGTAACAATTTAGCAATAACATATAAGATAACATATTTAGTATATTATGATGCTAAGAGGATATGAACACTCTATGAACCTCTGTAAAATCTAATTCCGTCTCGGTTCTAGCTACACTTAAATACACAACAATTCAGTCTTTTCTTGTTTGGAATCTGAATTTCAAAGCATGAGCTACAGAATTTTGTTTTTAAATCCACCAATAGTTTTCATTCTCGCCACGAGGGTAAAATTATACATATATATATATATATTTGTTTTCTTTCTAAATATATTAAAGGATGCGATATGAAAGTCTACAGTAAAAAAAAAAAAAGAAAGAAATACAAGTTATTATTTCAATTAGTCAAGAACAGTAAAAAGAAAAATTAGTAAATTCACAAATCGAATTTTGTATCGTCTGCGGTACACATTTCAAAACTGGTATATAATTCTTGTCTAATACGTTTCACATTTTGTAGTAGTTTCTAATGTTCAAGTAGCGGTTAGTCTGTCCCGAATTTCGCGCAAAGCTACACGTCGCCGTCCTTAATTTAGCAGTGATAGATTAGAGGGAAGGCAGCTAGTCAATACCGCCCACCGCCAACTCTTGGGCTACTCCTTTACCAACGATTTGTGAGATGGACTGTTACATTATAACTCCCACACGGCTGAAAGACGAGCATGTTCGGTGACGGGGATTCGAACCCGTGACCCTCTCAGTCAGATTGTGAGTCGAGCGCCCCTGATCACCAGGCCAGTTGAAGTATTAGGGAGGCCAGAAAATTGATATATTTTCTTGGCACAGTTCCAAAATCAAGATCATAACTGAGTTTTGTCATTATTAAGAATTGTTTCAATATATTTGATATTTCATTGATATTAAGTGTTTTCAGATATTGAGCATGTTTTGATTCAAATATCTTGGTTATAATTACAATACAAATACAAAAAAAAATATCAGTATCTTTATTCTAGATTTCAGTTTTAAAGTAGGCATTCATTACAAAAACCTTTACTGCGTCTATTTAGAAATGCTTTAAAATCAATGTTTTAAAAAAAAGTCTTCGCGGTGAAGATGACACGTTCTCGTGTTGCTTCGCACGTGGAGATACAGAAGCAACGGTATTTCTTGATTCTTGTCTCAAAATATCATATCTGTTTAACATTAATTCTCCATGGAGCTATGTATGGGTTTAGTGAAGTTTTGAAATATATATGATTCAAATAAACAGTTGTAAGAAATAAAACCTGTAACCTCTGTTAGGTTTAATAATAATGAAACTAAAAGCTTACGCTTATGTGTAGTGCAGGGTGTAGCTAAATTTGAAAGAATATATTTAATTAGATACAAAAAACTTAATTGTCTTGTCTCTGAACATTAAATACTTCAACCATTATATAGCAGATGTATGTTTCGTAAGTAAGATATAATATATCATTTTTGTCTTGATAAAGTGTTTAGTATATCTGTTTTTATTAATTTGTTTATAATTATTATTCTATTATAGAGATTGTCCTAGTCTGGCCGAACCTCGTGAGTTATTATTGGAATTACGGTCGAAAATGTCGCTAACTGTACTCAACTGATAACGTATTCCAATCTTTATAAGTAGAAATTAGCGAAAAACCTGAGTTTCCCTCTTCTCTTATGAGATGTACGTGAGTTGAAAAAAGTTGAAATTTAATCAAATTAATAAATTTTGCATATTTAACTCTAGAAAGACAAAATTTGGAAAATTCCGACACAACATTAATGGTTCACTAAATAGGCTTAGAAGTTAGTAACACATTTAAAATTCTCAAATTCCTCTCGTTGTAATGTAATGCTTGTAATGCGTTGTTAGTAATGCTTATTTTCGTTGTTTTGTTTTTTTTCCCCTGGCTTTTGATTATGTACTTTTCTAACTTGGTTGAATCACTGGAATGACTCTTGATATAAACATATAAAAAAATATTTTAATAATTTAATTCTCCTTTTGTGCTCAGCACAGTGTAAAGTTAGTTATTTCTGAGACATTTCAGCATGGTTGGGTGACGTTTTTTTCTTTTAATAGAGGTTTGAAAAGATGTGAGCGGTAGATTTAGAAAATAAATTATTTTCAACTCATAAAAAAATTCTTCAAGCTGTTATATAGCGCAGTAACATCGTGATGTTTTCAGGGTTTTTTTGTTTGTATAATATATTTGAAAATTGTGATACAAAACGGTAAATATCCGTACACCCTCGCATTACTGTTTCACGAGTTTGAAATGTTTGCTGTAATAACTGAAATAAAACAGCGAAGACATTAGTAAGCATTCCACACACTAGTCATAAAATAACCCGGTAAAATCTGAATAAGTCCTTAAAATGAGGCGTCTAAGCTTAGGCCTTTAAATTTGAAGAAAAAAACACGATCTAACATCTTTACAAAACCGGGAGAATGGTGTTTTATTACCTTAATATCGATCAGAAATTCCAAGTTTAAAACCAAGATATTTAAATTAAACTGAAGTAAACGTCTTACGAGGTGTTTGAATGTTGTAAACATGTTGAAACATAATGTAAACTATTATTTGACAAAAGTTTGTGGCTATTTCCGCTTATAACTGGCGAACCGCTGGATCGATTTTCACCAAACTCGGTATATACCCATAGGGTCTACCGTGATGTGACGTAGGGGATGATGTTCGGATCGCCGTGCACAGAAATGGTACGCCACCTAGTAGATTTTAAATCATGAAACTTAGAAGCATCCATTATAGAACAGCTCGGTTGGTCTTTAAAACTGTTTACGCATTATAAGTAGTAAAACTATTTTTAAACACCCTGTACTATTTGCGAGTGGAAGATAGATTACAGTGTAATACTTTCTGCATCAATAAAAAAACACATGTGAAGTTTAAATGTATTAATACTGAGTGCGAAGTTCTATGGTAGTGTTATAGAAATTCTTGATTTAAGGGTTAAAAGATTCCTTATCGTAGCTGCTTGGACCCTGCTCGGAATCGTTCTATAGTATATCAGATGTTCTTAGAATTTGTTTAAGCACAAAACTATACAAAGGGTTATCTGCGCTGTGCTAAGATTGGCACTGAAAGGGGGCCAGCGACGCAGGACCTCTTGAAATGTCGTTGCTCTCCAAAACTAATGTCGTCCCGTAATCTAATCTTAGCTTTACTTTAGATCTGGCTTCATTAAATGTCCTACCCCCCTTAAGAAAAGCTGCAGCCGGGACTGTGCCAAGTCCATTGTGAGTATCGAGACCGATAAAGAAGGGGGCACAGTAGCTTAAAGGAAACGATATCATACATAGCATTGAAAACAGTAGCTTAAAGTAAACATATAAAAGAAATAGCGAAGTGTCTCTTATTTTGTACCTCTTAAACTAAGGTCGAAAACAATGATTTGATCTTATTGATAGAGACAATATCATTATATTGCAGCACATTGTAGACGTATGTACCTTCTAATACATTCCGTGTTTGTTAACAAACTATGTTACTATTGAACACTACTATACAAACTATGTTGCTGTTGGACACTACTATACAAAAATATAGTTTGTATAGTAGTGTCCAGTAGTAACATAGTTTGTATAGTAGTGTCCAACAGTAACATAGTTTGTATAGTAGTGTCCAACAGCAACATAGTTTGTATAGTAGTGTCCAATAGTAACATACAACATAGTTTGTATAGTAGTGTCCAGTAGTAGCATAGTTTGTATAGTAGTGTCCAATAGTAACATAGTTTGTATAGAAGTGTCCAACAGCAACATAGTTTGTATAGCAGTGTCCAACAGCAACATAGTTTGTATAGTAGTGTCCAACAGTAACATAGTTTGTATAGTAGTGTCCAATAGTAATATAGTTTGTATAGTAGTGTCCAAAACTATTGGACACTACTATACAAACTA